TGTGTGTGTTGTTGTGTGTTGTTGTGTGTGTGTGTGTGTGTGTGTGTGTGTGTGTGTGTGTGTGTGTGTGTGTGTGTGTGTGTGTGTGTGTGTGTGTTTGCTGCTGTTATCAACCACGTTGCACGCATGCATGCATGTTAGGTCAAGTCGTTCCATAACCCCCCTTCCAAATTGCCGACGCGCGACAGATGAGCACAATGCGATGAGTGCAGAGGAAGTGCTGGCGCTAGGCGGCTGCAGGCTGTTGCTGGAGCCACGCTCTCTGCTTGTGCTGCGCCATGACGCGCGGTACCACTGGGCACACCGCGTGCCGTCAGCGCCAACCTTCACCATCAACAACCGCACGTATACGCGAGCAGAGCGCTTCTCCCTCGTCTTCTGGTCGACAAAGCTCGATCCCAACGCACCGCCCATCAAGCGGCACCCAGATGCCACGTCCCGCATCCGCCTCACCTGAGCATGCGTGCGTGTGTGTGTGTGTGTGTGCGCGCCTGTGTGCGTCTGCGTGCGTGTGCGTCTGTGTCTGACAGTGTTTGCTTGTCTTGCTCCTCTCTGACTCTGTCTTTCTCTCTCTCTCTCTCTGTCTCCTGTCTCTTTCTCTCTCTCTGTCTCTCTCTTATTCTCTCTCTCTCTCTCGCTGTGCTTTGCTTTTCCAAATTTTTTTCACGTTTTTCTGAGAACCCACAAGTGTGCAAACTGGTTTGGGTCTATGATATGATCGCGACGCTGTGTGTGACGATTAGGATTGTACTCTTTAGGATCATTTCTATAGTAACTATCCAGCTTTAGTCCCTCAACTAAGGCAAAGCTTTGAAGCACGATGACGACAAAGAGGTCGTTGTCCTGAGCGTGAGGCAGGTGCACGTTGAATGGCTTTTGCCGCTCGCGTGAGCCCTCGATGATCGCGCGCTGCCCGCCGCTGGCGGAAAGCACATGGACTTCGGACCAGTCCGAATGCTCTTCTTCTTTTTTTCCAACCCAAATCAAAAGGAAACGTAGCGATTTGTGTGTGTGCATTGTGGCGACACGTGTTTTCGTGGTGCGTGTTCGAATTCACTGAATTCAGTTGGTCCCCATTTCTCTGTCCTCTCGCGCAAACACAGAGAGGATGATGAAGAAGTGAGTTGCAGTTGATGTTGACGTTCTGTGGATGTGTGTGTGTGTGTGTGGATGAGTGCGTTGCACCACCAACCCCCTTGTCTCATCTCATGGTTCATCTTCTGGCTCGTATGCTGATGTGACACTGCTGTTGTTAGGGTGTGCGTTGCTTCGACCAACCCCGTGAAGCTGCGGGCTGTGGAGACGGCCTTCAAGGCAGCCTTCAAGACCACGGGCACGGAGGATGCCTTTGAGTTTGTCACAGGTCAGTAGTAATGTGCTCAGCGGGTCGCTTGCTTACCGCTGCAGCCGGCTCCCTGTCCACCGCATGCATGAAAGTGTCCCAAGGGTCACCACACACACACACACACACACACACACACACACACACACACACACACACACACACACACACATACATACACACACACACACACACACACACACACACACACACACACACACACACACACACACACACACACACACACAGATACATACATACACACATACACGAATGCCCCCCCCCATTCTTCCCACAACCACCAACGCAACCAACAGTGAAAGCGCCGAGCGGGGTGAGCGATCAGCCCATGGGGGATGCCGAGACGCTGACGGGCGCCAAGAACCGCGTGAAGAACGCCAGGGACATGATGCCCGGATGCGACTTCTACTGTGGCCTTGAGGGCGGCTGCACGCTTGAAGAGAGCAACACAACCGGCGCTGGCGACGGCGGCGAGATGACGTGCTTCGCATGGATCGTGGTGCAGGATGCCGAAGGAAAGCGGGAGGGCAAGGCAAAGACAGGCACCTTCTACCTGCCGCCCGAGGTGACGAAGCTGGTGAAGGGCGGCCTGGAGCTTGGCCATGCCAACGATCGCGTGTTCTCTCAGCACAACTCCAAGCAGCAAGGCGGCGCCGTCGGCCTGCTCACGGACGGCGTCATCACTCGGCATCTCTACTATGAGCAAACGGTCATCCTTGCCCTCATCCCTTTCAAGACCCCTGACCTCTACCCGTGCTGAGTGTGTGTTGTGTGTGCGTGCTGCGTCTGTGCGTGTGTGGGTGTGTGCTCTGTTTGTGTTGTGTATGTGTATGTGTGTGTGTGTATGTGTATGTGTGATGTGTATGTGTGTGTATGTGCGTGTGTGCACATCAGTGTACTCTGCTGTGCCGTCGTTCGACCTTCGTCTCTCCTTCACTTTAAGCAATGCCAACGGAAGTGTTAGCCCTCCTTGTTCCGTTCATGGATGTGACACTTCCTGCTTTACTTGACACCAGTACATCGTTCTGCCATCTGCTGTATCCATCGCGGATGCAAACACACACACACACACACACACACACACACACACACACACACACACACACACACACACACAC